GCCAGTGATGGCTGATCAACAGCAACTGTGGATAATAAAAATTGTGAAGTACTGTTGTTATCACCTAATCCAAAGAGCTGATGGATTGCAGGCACTAATTTTATAATGTTTTAAAAAATGCAAACATCTTCTAGCCCCTGTCTAAAGTTCAAATTTATTTGATGGATAATGAAAGGAGACAAGAAGTGTTTTTATGGGCTTGTGTTTTCCGCAGCACAAATTCTAGATGCTTTTACTGGTATGCTTAGAAGACAACTTGCATGTAACTATTCCTCTTTGACAGATCTTTTCTGCCTACTTGTGTGTTGCAGTTGCAAATAATGTTCTGGCTTATTCAGATTGTGAAAGATCGATCAAGCTAGCAGAAAACCAATTAATTTATTTTTATTATAGTTAAAATATGACCCAGAGCCTCTCTCACACTGAATAATGACACAGCATGTTTAATAATTACCATCTGCAGACCATTGTTTTATTGGAAGGCTAGGGAGCCAGCAAAGAGTTTGGCTTTCCATTTTTTTCTTTATTACAACAAAAATTTGGATTTTGTCTTTATTAAAGTTTTAAGAAAAAATGCAAAAATAAGAGGAACAACTTAATAAATTACCAACAGCCACTAACAACGACACCAGAACAAATGAATGAAAACAAATCATCTAGATTTGGCTTTTGTTCCTGTTTTTTGGACAATGCAGCACAGCTGAGTCTTCTCATTTGGCCATCAAGATACCTTCTAGGTAAACTGTGTAGTGCGCAAAAACTAATATAGGGAAAAACACACATAGTTCCCCCCATATGAGAAGAGGGCACAGTAATTCAGTAATTAAAAATTAAAAATAATTTGTGACCAACTACAGCTATATAGGCATTCACTAATCTCTTCAAACACATTAGATATTATCCTGCCAATTTCAGACATAAGATCTAGGAAGAATGTGAGCTTTTACTTCCTAGCAGTTTCTATTTCATGCGGCATCAACTTTTCATACAGGAAGAAATAGTTTTTTAATAGATTATTAGAAGATTAAGTGACACTAGAACTCATTAATATGTCATTACTCCGGAACAGACATCATGTCTGTTATTGATTTAACATACATTTTGGGTGGAAGAAAAGCAGACATTTTCTGCCATGCAATAAATGAATTTTCCAAGAAACATGGAGCGACAGCCTATCACAAACAGAAGAATGATTCATCGGAAATGGCCAACAAGTTTTGATGAACGCTGCAGGACCATGTGAGTGACAAAACCATCTTCCAACAGATGGTATCAAACCTGCTATTAGACCTAACAGCAGGAACATATCATAGAATCATAGAATAGTTTGGGTTGGAAAGGACCTTTAAAGGTCATCTAGTCCACCCCCCTACCACAAGCAGGGACATCTTCAACTAGATCAGGTTGCTCAGAGCGCTGTCCAACCTAACCTTGAATGTTTCCAGGGACGGGGCACATACCACCTCTCTGGGCAACCTGTTCCAGTGTTTCGTCACCCTTATTGTAAAAAAATTCTTCCTTCTATCTAGTCTGAATCTATCCTCTTCTAGTTTAAAACCATTGCCCCTTGTCCTATCGTCACAGGCCCTACTGAAAAGTCTGTCCCATCTTTCTTATAAGCCCCCTTTAAGTATGGAAAGGCCACAATAAGGTCTCGCTGGAGCCTTTTCTTCTCTGGGCTGAATAGCCCCAACTCTCTCACCTTTTCTTCCTAGGAGAGGTGTTCCACCCCTCTGATCATTTTTGTGGCCCTCCTCTGGACCCGCTCCCACATGTCCCTGTCCTTCCTGTGTTGAGGACCCCAGAGCTGGACGCAGCACTCCAGGTGGGGTCTCACCAGAGCAGAGTAGAGGGGCAGAATCACCTCCCTCGACCTGCTGGCCACGCTTCTTTTGATGCAGCCCAAGATATGTTTGGCCTTCTGGGCCATGAGAGCACATTGCCGGCTCATGTCCAGCTTTTCATCCACCAGT